CCCCCCCCGGTCCCGCGGCCGGTCAACGTGACCACGTGACCCCCAGGATCACACGGAGCGCCGCGCACCGCCATATAACGTCCTAATTAGGCCGCGGGGGAATGAGCCACGGGGTAATGGGCGCGGGGATTTGAACCGCGCGGTGACCCTCGGCCCTCTGCCTGCCCCCAGGACTTAATCTGTCCCTCATTTTTTCCCCTCGTGGTACGTGCGTGTGGGTGGGTGTTTTTTGTTTTTTTAAAAATATTTCTTCTTTAGTATGTCCTCGTGCTTGTTACTGAGCCGCACGCCGCCGGCCGGCTGGCTGGCCGCCGGACTGAAGGTCCACCATCCCGTCATCCCTGTGGGATCTTCCCCCTCATATGTCAGCTGTCACATCTGCCGTGTTGGGGGTCGTGACGTTTGGTTTTAGCCCGTGTGGGCGTGTGGCTGTGGCTGCTGGTTTTGGTCTTTTGCTGATCCCTTCCGCTTTGTGGAACCAGGTGGATGGCGTGGCGGCGCGGTACGACGAACAAGGGCGGGAAAGGGCCGAGAAAAGGCTTTCTCTTTCTTTACCTTATTTTTTTTTTCTTTTCATCTAACAGAAGATGAAAATTAAGGAGCGTCGCGCGATGTTTCTTTTTCGCCGAGCAAAGAAGATGGTCTGCGGTGGGGGGGGGAGACTGTAGGAGACGAAGGAGACTGTGGAGCAGGAGGCGAAGGAGACTTTGGAGGAGACGAAGGAGACCTTGGAGATGATCAAAGAGGCGGAGGAGACGAAGGAGACCTTGGAGCTTGGAGACGTGGGCTGGGTGGCGGGCGCCTGCAGGTCCCCTGGCCGGCCGGCCCGGCGCGCGCGGCTGTTGGGCGGGCCAGCCTACCCTGGAGCTGACAGGCGCTGGCCGCGCCGGCGCGTCAGCGTCAGCGTTTCGCTCGTTTCGCTTCATCTCGAACATGGGTCGGAGAAATGTTTCTGGAAATGAAAATAAATAGTAACTTTCCGCGTGGCTCGGTTGGGGCGGGCCGGTTTGTCCGCGCCATCATGAGAGAAGAGCGCCCTTCTCTCATGGCGCCATGTTGTTCAAGCTGAAGGGCAATGTAGACTCTGTGAGCTCGGGTTGGAGCGGGCGCTGTCGGCTGTCGGCAAGAACCGAAATACGGTCGCCTCAATTCGACCGTCGCTGGTCGACGGTTGGAGTGCGAGAGACAGCGTTACATATGGGCAAGCGGCCGGTCAGCGCTGCTCAGCAACAAGCGGCTGGCCCGGCCGACTGGAGCGACCGTGCGGGCGCGTAGCGCGCGCGGCGACCGCCGGTTTGCCGGACGGTTGCGGCGAACCGTCGAGAACTGCCTCTTTTCTTGGTTCTTGGCTGTCGGCTTCCTGTCGGCCTGACGTGAGTGTGGGTCCTCTAGGACCAGACGGGGCCCATACTCTTTCTTCTACCTCCACACCACACCCACGCCCCTCTCCCATTTTCCCTTTTTCCGAAAGCCCAATATTCTCGCCAAGCACTGAATCGCGCGAGGGAGTTTCGCGTGAAATTGGTAAGAGGTCGCTCTGTTGGGGGGGATTGGGATGCACAGGCGGGTAGGGGGGAGGAGAGAGAGAGAAACTTTTTAAAGATCACGCCCCCCTTCTTTTTCTTCTGTCCTTTTTTGGTTCCTCCAGCTTGTTACGAATGCAAGAGACTGACTGCAAAGTCCACAGAACCTATTCGTCTCATTTAGTACGCTTTTCTGGGTTTGGCTTTGTCAAGGAAATGTCTGTTTTGTTGTCTGTTTGTTTTGAAGGCTGGACTAACGCTCCGTCGTTTCGCTTTACAGGAGGGGCGCCTGCGTTTCCATAAGCATGCGCTGTTTATGGTGAGTGGCCTGGTTAGGAGACCGCGTAGCCTAGCCGTAGGCGCACTAGGCGCACTAGCCTGTCATTTCAAGAGGTAAGAACGCCCTTCCATACCCTTTCCCCCGACACATTTTTTTTCTTCTGTTCCCTCTTATTGTCTTCTTCTTCTTCTTCTTCTTCTTCTTCTTCTTCTTCTTCTTCTTCTTCTTC